TTATGGTGGTTTGCTTTAACTGGTTGGTATGATATTTGAGACGTCGCAATACATCGATATTTAGATGCAGCACATCACTGGAATCTCTTCAAAATCTTACGACAGGCCTCGCCCCCTAGGGGCTTGTCCGGTCGATGCCGTCAACGGACGCCGACGGACAGCTCAGAGTGGCGATAGAATATTTGCAAGGCGGTTAGAGCAATTGGATATTTCGGTCGTGGAACGGCCATTTCGTGGCTCCGTAGATGTTGAAAAGTCGTCATCATGTGGTCAAATAGTAGTCTAACAACAGCAAAGTACGGTTATAAGGTGGCCATATAACCGTTATGTAACGTCAAAATATGGTTTATTGGCAGCCTTTCATCCGTCCGACATCGGTCGACTATATAACATACGGACGTGGCTTGGGACTTTTTACTACCATGATGATAACCTGGAAAACGGCTATATGGAAGATTTGGCGGAGCACATAGCCACTACCGACCATACTAGGTGGTTGTTAGTTAGTTATATAACTGTTATATAACCGGAAATCTCGTTTTTTTGCTGTGTTGCTAGAGCCCTTAAGTCACACGTAAATCCAAATTTGACGGATTTCGACAAGTACCCTCATTTTCACACGAATTTGACTTTGACAGGAAACAATCCTAAGTGTGAGATCTAGTTGGATTAATTGAATATCCGTTCCTGCCCACTACACACTCCCAGCACTAATGGTGTTGCCGAGTTACGAGGGCCACTAACCGCAAGGCAACCATCGGTTCACTTGAGTCATGTATCCACCTGTTACGGATGGAGCACCTCAATTAAACATTGGCGTCCATTTTGGTGTGCGCAACCCCAATCCGATTAGTGGGGACTTCGTTACTAGTAAAGGTAGAGCCCTAGCTTAATTCTGAGCCAAATGCTCCAAACTTGGTGCTTCCGGCGGAATGAACTTCAAGAGTACACAAAATATACTAGACAAACAAAAAAGCATCTAAATAACAGTCTGTCGTATTCAGCTTGTATGTAATGAAAACATTCCGGAATTCCAGACGCCATCTGGTCATGCTATTGGTAACCTGCAGTCAGGGGACACTTTACCGTGATTGGCTCTTCGTTCGATATTTTTGACCAATCAGATCTGGACTCACTGTTGGACAGCCAGGCGATCATTTCTGGCCAATCATAGCCGTCTCAGCTCCCGATTGCGAGCTCTTGGGCAGTCCTGGCGTGGCGTTCTGCCTAACGCCTTACTTCAGGACCACGAATGTAGAGACAGAGCAACTCCGTTCTGTAAGTTCAGCGAATTCAACTTCGTTAACTGTGTGTGGTCAATTCTGTTGAGAATCTACTGCAGAATGATCATGCCGGTGACCAGTATTTATTGGAGATAAATAGGACAGTATGAAAGAAGTTGCGTCCTTGGCTTTCAGTAATGTGCACAGCTATCCGACTCAATCAAATGAACGCTGGGTTTCCTCGACATTACCAGGCCTTATCGCTGATCACATGACGCGTAGATCCCTCAAACACCGACTATACAACGCAACGAATCACCTGGTGCAGACAATCTCCGAAGAAGGTAGTGGATCCGATGTAGCCAGCCTAATTACTCTACGAAATATTTGGGACGAAGTCGGAGTGACGATGTATGCAGCGCTTCGACGTCGGTCCTTATTTTCAACGGGGATGCGAGAACTTGTGGAAATAACTGACGTGTCAGTCGTGTGGTCATAGCTTCTAAGGTGTACCCAGTATTAATTTTCGTCGGTCACCCCACCTCCTAGAAGGTCAGGTAACTGTGAATGGAACTGGGTGTTGCCTCTTGCAGGATTACACCAATCGTATGTGCGCCGTGCGACAAGTGCTGGGACTGTACCGCTTGCCATAACCAACAACAGTGCCGTCCCTATTGATCTGAAAAATCTGTTGTTCGAAACCAACGACGGCATCTCGCCTGCCCCTGTCTGAGCTTGGGTGACCTGAAAATAGGTCGGCTTTTGGACTTATTTGAGGTGGCATGACAGCTGGGTACCGAAACGACTTTTTCAATTATTATAACGGATTAAGATATCAGCACACTACCAGAAGCGACTTCATATTCTTGTTTACTGGCACGATTTCAGATATCAGTTATCTCTGAAGCGAGGTTGTACGCGATGTTCGGAATTCTAGCCGCTGCACAATGCAACTAACCTCTAGCGGAGTGGACTGACTGCTGCAGGTCCGACGGCAATACAATCCGGTGCCACGCCAAACAGACCGTAACCTCAGGCCGGGAGCCTGATGGGTCCAGGAAGCTTAGGAAATAGTAGAAGCGAAAAATTCTGAAGGTTTTCGCAGGTTGTTCTTATTGGTTCTTCCTAAAAATCTTCGGATACCCCTTGTTGGCGAAACCAATAACGGCCACGATGGCCGGCGAAAAACGTTTGGATCGTCGTCAGAATATTATGAGCAAAATTGCAGTGAATTAACCTCTGTTTCTCATTTGGGCTGCCGCCGTTCAACAGAAAAGTGCAATGGACTCGCACTCGTTCGCGAATTAATTTGGTGTTAGCGGGAGGCTCAACCGAATGCCACATAGCGAGTGTAATTGCTGGGAACTCTGGGACTACGCACATCTTATGGGACACAAGATGAGCGAAACCGGTAGTAAGTTGTTGAAGAATTTTCAGCAACCTTTTGGTCAATAAGGAACATGAAATTTTATGATGAGATCTCCTTGTGTCTTAGGGACGTGCGATAATTTACCTTTACTCAACGCCACGGAGCTTCGAACGGCCTGTTTAAGGACGGTGGGGAATTGCTTGGTGAGTTGGTGTCCGGCTATTAATGTCTATCTTGGAGACAGGCTATCTGAGGCAACTTGGGTTGGTCGAGAGTAGTGCCCATCTTTGAAAAGTTAACCCTTGTGAATGTACAATTACAAAGGTATCATCGTATCAACGCTTCTGACGTCACTAATTCTCCGCGGCGAAACCTTGACCCATGAGCATAAAACGATGGAAACTGTGCCGACTACATCCACACGTTCCGTGAGGTGTTGGATAATCGCCTTATGGACGGTCCACAGTGTTAGTTTTCCTTGATTTCGGCAGTACCTTTAGGTAGGTCGTTCTGTCTGTTCTTTTGGTCAACGTTGTTCCCAAGGTGGGTGCCTTAAAAGTCTGTAATTGCTGTTAATAACAGCGTGTAAGAGATGAGCTCTCTTAGCTTCCCTACTAGAGGCTTTCTGCCAGTATATTCACTGTCTACTTCAGTCCGACTTCGTCGTCGATAGAGTACTGAGGCAAACGCTTCAAGCTTCATACAGCCAAGTAGACCAGACTATTGAGTCATTGGCTCCGGAAATGGTCTTCCAAGAAAATCCTAACAACCGCTGTCTCGCTGTCCAAACTTTCCAGTCAGAGGCTAAGGACAGGGCCCACGAACAAACCCTACATTCTCTCACTGCCTTGTGGATCAGACTTTTGAGTCAAGGGCTCAAGGTGGGGTACCTCAACTAAACCCCCTTCGAACTGGGCAGCCGGGAAGTATCATTTGCCCTTGCAGCTCTTCCCTCACCAGCCTTCCCCCTCATTCCCTGCCAACCCATTAGGAAATAGTAGAAGCGAAAAATTCTGAAGGTTTTCGCAGGTTGTTCTTATTGGTTCTTCCTAAAAATCTTCGGATACCCCTTGTTGGCGAAACCAATAACGGCCACGATGGCCGGCGAAAAACGTTTGGATCGTCGTCAGAATATTATGAGCAAAATTGCAGTGAATTAACCTCTGTTTCTCATTTGGGCTGCCGCCGTTCAACAGAAAAGTGCAATGGACTCGCACTCGTTCGCGAATTAATTTGGTGTTAGCGGGAGGCTCAACCGAATGCCACATAGCGAGTGTAATTGCTGGGAACTCTGGGACTACGCACATCTTATGGGACACAAGATGAGCGAAACCGGTAGTAAGTTGTTGAAGAATTTTCAGCAACCTTTTGGTCAATAAGGAACATGAAATTTTATGATGAGATCTCCTTGTGTCTTAGGGACGTGCGATAATTTACCTTTACTCAACGCCACGGAGCTTCGAACGGCCTGTTTAAGGACGGTGGGGAATTGCTTGGTGAGTTGGTGTCCGGCTGTTAATGTCTATCTTGGAGACAGGCTATCTGAGGCAACTTGGGTTGGTCGAGAGTAGTGCCCATCTTTGAAAAGTTAACCCTTGTGAATGTACAATTACAAAGGTATCATCGTATCAACGCTTCTGACGTCACTAATTCTCCGCGGCGAAACCTTGACCCATGAGCATAAAACGATGGAAACTGTGCCGACTACATCCACACGTTCCGTGAGGTGTTGGATAATCGCCTTATGGACGGTCCACAGTGTTAGTTTTCCTTGATTTCGGCAGTACCTTTAGGTAGGTCGTTCTGTCTGTTCTTTTGGTCAACGTTGTTCCCAAGGTGGGTGCCTTAAAAGTCTGTAATTGCTGTTAATAACAGCGTGTAAGAGATGAGCTCTCTTAGCTTCCCTACTAGAGGCTTTCTGCCAGTATATTCACTGTCTACTTCAGTCCGACTTCGTCGTCGATAGAGTACTGAGGCAAACGCTTCAAGCTTCATACAGCCAAGTAGACCAGACTATTGAGTCATTGGCTCCGGAAATGGTCTTCCAAGAAAATCCTAACAACCGCTGTCTCGCTGTCCAAACTTTCCAGTCAGAGGCTAAGGACAGGGCCCACGAACAAACCCTACATTCTCTCACTGCCTTGTGGATCAGACTTTTGAGTCAAGGGCTCAAGGTGGGGTACCTCAACTAAACCCCCTTCGGACTGGGCAGCCGGGAAGTATCATTTACCCTTGCAGCTCTTCCCTCACCAGCCTTCCCCTTCATTCCCTCCCAACCCATCTTACAATGCACTGCAATCAACCCATCTATCAATCCTCTAGCCACTGTTCCGTGTCTCAACTATCACCCAGGAGAATAAACCAAAATAATCACTTACTAACCTCAAAAGATCTGATCCACTTTGCAGCCTTCGGTGTCCGTACTCTATGTCGAATTAGTCAACAGGCATTCCTTGCTGAAACCTTACTTTCCCTCTCCATCGATGTATGTTGTATCTCCGAAACACGCATACAAGACCCCACTTCGGTCGTGCTCCTCAAGCCGCTTAGGACGAGCCCAGATGTTCCACATTTCGTCCTCCGGGTATCCGGTGATCTTGACGCAATGGCTCGTGATATCTGCGGTGTGGGAGTTGTACTCAGCCCCAAGGCTAAAAGCGCCTTACTGGACTTGATCCCAGTAAACAATCGCCTTTGCGCTGTGCGATTGTCTGGCTCCATTAAGATTAACGCACGTCGATGTGATAAACGGTGTTTGTTTGTCGTATCAGCATACGCCCCAACATATAGCAGTTCTGAGACTGAAAAGGACGAGTTTTATCACGATCTGCCACGACCGCTTCGGTCGGCAAGAAGGGTAGATATAGAAATTCTGGCGGGTGATATGAATGCCCAAGTTGGACGACTAATTCCGGAAGAAGCACAGTTAGGTGGTCGATTTGGAGTCGATGCTGGATAACGGAGAGCGGCTTCTTCAGTTGTGTGCAGATCATCGTCTGTTCCTGACCCGTACGAACTTCCAACACAAACGCACACGCCGAGTTACTTGGAGGCCACCCACCACAAGGCATTCCTAGAGTCATTTGGATCATATGGCAGTGGAGATCCTCGTTCCTTCTGGGGGTACGCAAATTGACTCTGATCACGCCATCGTTCGGGCCCGCTTAGCATTTGGCTTTTCGCCAGCACTATGCATGCCGAAAGACAACAGCTCTGTTCATCAACTTCGACAAGTTTTAGTAGATGAAAAGTGTCGAGCTGATCTGGCTAGAAAGCTACTGGAAACGCACAGTCATGTGGACGATGATTGCTTGGAGGATCAATAGAGGCGAGTTAAAGAGGCAATGCTATCAGTTTTCAGAACTGTTTGTCCAGCTCATCTGACTCGACTCAATAAACACTGATTATCTTCGAGATCAGCAGATCTTACTGCTGCCAGAAAGACTATACCAGCAACTAGCGACTATGATGGCGCACGCAGATCCCTCAAACACTGGGTAATGACTGAGAGCGCTGGTGGATTTCGAGGGCCCAGGAGATGGAGAAGGCTTTTGCTGCAGGAAACAGCCGCACCCGGTTTCAACTTATCCAATGTCAGTGAGACATGTGAAAAAGACGGAAGAGCAACGCATCTCCTCAGTCGCCGTCTTGAGCGGTGAACTGAGCACTTCGAAGAACAATTCACCTGGTCTCCTTCAGCACAACCGCTGGAAGAACCAAGCGAGCCCGAATGAAACATTGACACCAACCCACCATCTTCAACCGAAATCCATTGTGAGATTTCAATCCTGAAGCGCGACAAGGCATCTGACCCGGATGGTCTACACTCCGCACTCTTCAAAGAAAGTGGGGAGGCCCTGGTGAACAGTCGGACAACTATACTGCAGAAGATTTGGAACGAAAACCGAATTGCAGCCGAATGGGCTCCTCGACCGTCATCCAAGTTTTCGAAAAGGGAGTAAGGACGTCATGTAAAACCATGGTGGTATCAGCCTCATATCCGTCCTATCTAGAGTGCTCTCTGGTATTATTTTTCGCAGATTGATGAATTATCGAGAGAGACAGATTCGTGAAAACCAAGCTGGGTTTCGCCCTGGTTGAGGATACATCGACCATATCTTTACCTTGAGACAAATTTTTGAAAAGCACCACTACCACATTGGTCGTTTATCTTGATTTGAAAGCTGCTTTTGATTCTTTTGATTGTCAGTAACTTTGGCAGTCTGGCGACCAAAGGTGTCCCTCCCAAAATTCTACTCCGCATGTGGGCATGTACAAGCATACGGGAAGCTCTCGCCTGAGTTGACTACGTCCAGTGGTGCAAGACAAGGCTTCTCTCTCTTACTTTTCCTTTTCAACTTCGTTGTTGATTTGCTGCCTTAAATTTCTCTGCCTGTCTCTGAAACCCCGGGAGTGGAAATTCTTCCGTGACGTTCCCTCACACACGTTGAGTATGCAGACGATATTGCTCTCCTTGGTTCAGGTCCTTCCCAAATCCAGACGATTTTAAGTAACCTAAGTATTTCTGCCGCACGGTTTGGCGTGCGCTTCGCACCTGCAAGGTATAAAAGGCTGCTACAAGACTGGGTTGGATCAAATCCACATCTCATGCTTGCAGACGACATGACATGCACCAGTACAACCAAAAGCCCTTGGTATTTTTTTCATACTCCGTCTCCAGGTCATGCGCTGCCTGCCTTGTGGAACCTTCTAGTCGAAGCGTGCACCAACCAACAGGGCACGGCAAGGCAATGATCCCATTGCATACGGAGCACTCGGTCGAGTCAGCTTAGTTGATGCGGTCGATTCAAGTCACGACTCCAACCCACGATCCAACTCACAACTCATGGTACGTGCGTAATGTATCTAAGGCGCTGGTGGTCAGGGACAAGCGGTTTTTTGTGTTCAGTGCACTGTGACCAGGCTTCCCAGTTGTAAAGCTGCACTGGAGTGCTGTCGTGTCGTATACTCTGCCTTTCACCAACAGGCTCATTTTCACTTCATTTCAGTTTATCAGCTATCAACCACCTACCAAGGGTACGCTTGTTCTAGCTGCTATAGTTTTATTCACCGGAGAACGGGAGAGTCCAGGAGTTGTAGCCAAGAGTGGGAGGTGATGGCCTGGTCAATTGGTTCGGGAAATTGGTCAGCTACGGATTGAAGTCGATAGGTTTGATGCACGAACTTCACTGTTAGGGTGACCGAGTCTTGTCTACCGGTGTTATTAACCATGTTGAAACTCGGGCTCCCCATTCAAGTAGGCGGTGATTGTCGATCCGACTGAGTCTGCTGGCTAGTGTCTGTACTTCGTTGCCATCTCCCACTTGCTTTCACACAGCACATGTATGGCGAAAAGACCTGTGCGGGGTAGATGGTTTCCTGCCCTGCATATTGCATGCATTGTATGAGAGTTCCTTTTTCCGCAACTCATCTGGCGAACCTCACGCTAGACCGGTCAGTGCTTCGGAGACACCGACATACTAATGTCACACTAACCCAAGAATCGCCCAATATGAAGGGATGCAGAATGGGTGTTAGAGAGCATAGCATTCAGTTCGTCGATAATGCTGTCGTCCGACATGATACGGCCATCCGGTTACGCAACTTTGTTTACTGTCTGTAGTGATTGTGGTGCTACGACCAGTTTTAGCGCTGCACTCGCCAAGTCTTGTGATAGCACTTTGAGCTTTCATTGTGCAAAGCGCATACTAAAAACGTTTGACAGCATTATGTAGGTCATTCATTGTATTTTGCACCTGGATGGAATCTGAACTAAGTCGTCCGATATCGCTCGTCCTTTTGAGGTAATTTCCGAGAAGATTCCTCACATAGAGGTAGAGAACTCACCCACTGTTTCTTGATGAATAATTCGATTACGAAGTTGAATAGGTGATGTGGAAATGGGCAAAATTGACGGACATAACTACTGATGATGAACTCAGGACTACACTCTCTGTAAATTTTCGTGGATCCACAGGTGTTGGAGTGTATGGGTTGATGGAGATGTGAACATTCCCGTAGAACTTCATTCGCCTTTTAAGTTTTCTGGTCGAGTGCTTCCATACTGTGAATTATTCCTTTTCCCCAAGCGAGGCAGGGAGACGGTAGTTAGTACCGTATCCTTTGTTTCGCTTCAAAATTTTGATTTGACCTCACCCTTTGCTGTGACCGAACATTTCATGTCCCATTGTTGTTGGTGAATTGAGTGTCATGCTGGGCACTTCAGGCCAGCTGAATTGTCCCCACACGTCAATGGAGACCCAGGAACTCAACTCACCACCGGTTAATTACCCTGGTAGGCATGGTTATGCTCTGTTTTCAGTGGCGCGCATACATCAGAGCCGTCACCTACAACACGTAGCTGCCCAGTTCCCTGTTTCCTCAGAGCAGTATACAGTGCGAACTTATTGATCATTCCGCCGCCTCCAATTCCTGGCCATCTCCCCAGGCCCATTTTTTGCGATCTAAACTGTATCCTCGGTACAAAGGTTTATAGCTGATAAGCTGTCTAACTGACTGACTTTGTCCACCGAGGCAGCCGATTGACCTTGGAGTAAGTTTCGAGGCCTCTTTCGCTGTAATGACTTCACTGACCGGCTGTTTTCTCGGCCAGGTGTGCCTCATGAGTTTGGAAAATGGTTGTGGTACTTCCAATCACCGTCGACTTTATCATTTCTCGGACTTTTATCCACTCCCGCTTCTCCCGGTCGTTCCGGTGGGACCATCTTCCTTTGTTCGACCAGGGGCATGGGTCGCTGTAAAACCCTATTTGGATTTGGCCGTGGCCTCTTTTAAAGTGCGCTTTTTCACTTCCAGTCCGTTTTCATTGGGTTGGCTGGTTTGTTTCACTTTTGATAGCTGTCCAGGTAACTGTTTCCGGTAGACTTTTTGGCAACCGTACTAACAAATGGTTATCATGCTGATCATAGGGAAACGGGCTACAGCACACGGACGAACAAGGAAATGATCTCAGTCCACACCTTTTTTCCAAAAGGAGGTACTCTTGAGCATAAGATTGCTATCTGTCACTTACTGCCATGTAATCTGTCTGAATGCTTGGTTGTTACAGGTTAGAGGGAGCTGAGTAACGATGTGCGTACATTTGTGTTGAAAACTTCAGTGGATATCCAGAAATGGACGTTGAATTTGTCGCTTTAAAGAAAGGGGGAGTCGTTTAGCTCCTGAAGTAATGAGTTGAAGCTTATTGATGAAAGGGGCCAGCTGTCGTTCGCACGTTGTTGCTTCCGGGTATCTCGGGTCGAAAAGTGGTTGGTTGACTCCTCCCGAACTTTCGCTCTCTAGCGAGAGAACCGACCCATAGATTAGTTGAAAAGTTAGGGTTACCGTTCAGGACCCTGCCCTTGGCCTCTGACTCAGTAGCCCGACCAGATGCAATTGCTACGGTTTTGATAAGACCCATCGCCTCACTAACCTCACCCGCCTGGCTCAGATATTAACACTGCTGCGTATGCTAGTTGCTTTTTGAGGATCACCGGACTCCTGGTTTTGAAAAGTACTTCGATCATGTTGAATAATGTATCAGCGGTCAGTGTACAGTTTATTGATCCACTAACCTGTCCTGTTTAGGGAAACAGCACCACTACTTACATCAGTATGAAAGTGCGGATCGCCTTGAGAAAACGCCTTACTCCGTTTACGATCCTACAGACGAATTAACGGTTATTCGCAGTGCAAAGAGTCACTTCCTTTTCTTTGGCTCCGTCCGTTATAGTCTTCCTGGCATAACTGAACCTTAAGTAGTGAAGCTCTAGCCAGTGCAACCCATTTTCGATCGCTTTTTCTTGCTACGCCATAGGCGTAGACTCTTAAACTAGCTCGCTCAGCGTCATCAGGAGCCCCCTCAAACCAGGTCAGCTCTGTCAAAGTACTTTGACATCATCATTTTCCAAGCGCATGACAAAATGGGCATTCACACGGACGATGTCAGCTTTTGAGCAGCTCAACCCAGTTCTATGGAGATCACATTTGAACGCAGCTTCGAATGTCCAATGTGAGGGTCCAAATGGCGCACACTTATGTGCATACAACATCAAGACCTTGCCTCGAGAAACGGTTCATACTCTGTCCTTTTACACAGACTCAGCAGCACTGAATACAGTAGTTTGGGTGACCCCTTCCCAAGCCAGACTCCAAACTGTTGACGCTACATCACCGATGCTCCGCTCAGAACGGCACCGTTATATCAGTGGTAATTGACCATCCGGCCCTGAACATTTGGGTGTCATTCACTGAATCAAACAATGGAAAAACCGGGCCCTGTCGCTACTAACTTTTTATGGGCTTCATCATTTTTCATAAGGCATAGCATCTAGTAAGTACGTTGTGGTGCCTAATCTTGGCAGCGTTCTCCAGCATGGCGCCGAATACACAAATAAGTGAACTCACCAGTTCCTCTAATATTACAGATTTTTGGACACCTTCCATCGTCTCCTTTTTTTAAACCTCTGACCGATTGACGGTCAAGCGGCCTGCCGGATGTAGGGCGCATCTGGTTAGCGATGGGCAACTGCCTCAAATGCCGAAACAATGATACTCAGAGTGAAGACGAACATAGAGAAGAAAATCGAAGAAGCGACCATCAATCACGACGTGTTTTCTATCCAGGTTACTTGGTAAGTCAACCCTTGCTGTCCTGCTTCCATGTCGGGGCCTTTTAACTGGACGAGGTTATGAATAGTGGAGCGCTGGTGTTTTACCACAGGTGCTGCTTTCCGTACTGTTATCAAAGACTCTGTATGGGACTTGACATCTTTTTTTGTTTTTCTGGCATGCTAGACAATCATACTACCAGTACTTTTTACAGTAACAACCAGTTAATGGAACGAATAGCTCGTCTTTCGAGCGCATGCATATAAAACACAAGAAAGTATCTGGTATGTGTTATTTTGTGAATACAGTTTAAAGTGTAATAGAAGAATCACAAATGTAGTGGTACATGAACGCTGAAGGACTCCAGTCCTCGTAGATGTGGGTCATTGATTTTGTCAGCATTTCCCTGCTTTTTTATTCCCGTGAATATCCATTTCTGTTCTTCGTGTGTGGTGATTCATTTTGTTGTTATAACCGTTTAAATTGCATGGTACGCGTTTCTTATTTATACTCAACATCTTTTTAGTGGGCTTTATTTCCATACTAAGCATAAGCCAATATGAAAACTAGATAGATGGCTACGGAATCCAAAATATCATTCCTGTTTTTTTTTGCAATGGAAATGCTATCTGTTGGTGTTACACAGTGTTGATGCGGTGGACTAGTCTGAGATCCAGTCAGAACAGTCAGTTCACCTGAACTGCTGGGCAGTGTCACGCAAAATTGGCATCTACTGTGCTGTCTGTGTGTGCTCAAGCACTTTTCGGATTTTCACAAACAAGGGCAACAACCCAAGTGGTACGGAAACGTAAGTTGAAAGCATCACTCAATCAATCAGTCGGTCACTCCATCATTCTCTTCGACCACAGTGTTCAATACTGATGCTTCGCTGCTGCACAATCATGATTTATTTGAAAGCCCCATTCCGGGCTACCTACATATTCAGACACTCATTCATACGATCTGGATAGTAAATGACAGCGAGAATGCCATTAACATCGATTAGCAGCCCCATCTTGCAGCGAATTCAACCATGGGCAGGGGTGATCACGCACACCCCATTCTGTAAGGTGTGTCGCACCGACAGTACCCAGCTTCCGTAGTCGATTTCATTTCCCTATACCAGGTCACAGGTTAACCACCTCTCTGCTACTGCCACTGTGAATTTGGCACGGAGAATTGCACTCTCTTCGACAAACCATGATTCGGCGTGTGCGATACATGGCCAGGTCACCGCGGCTTTTGGTGCTGGATACAGTCCTTCGTTGAAGTCTCCGCTACACAACCGAACACTCGTTTTCTGATTGTCTCGTTGCAGATTCATGGGTATCAGCTTACGCGAGTTGTGGCTTTGACACAACAGTTTCCGAAGACCTGGAGACGTCTGAGTTCTGCTGCTCGCGTAGGACATGTCTCACAGCCATACAACAAGCATCCTGGGTCTGTTCCCCGGCCAGGCATCTCACTGTGTCTACAGTTTTGTGGCAACCATATCGCAAGCAACTTCAGCCACAAACTGAAGTTTGCCTTTAGCCACGCGTTGCCCCAATACGCTCGATCTCTGCAACCACAAGAACAATGCTCTAACCTAGGTCCGAGATTAGCTCTGAGTAATCTACCGGATATGCTTTCTATCAGCTCACACGACATCGTAGTTGAAAGTATGTAAGCAATTGTCTGTGCACATGTTTGCTTTTAGTTCCAAGGTCACACGTTGCTACTAGTGTTAGTAGTAACTGACATACGGGCCTGGCTATGTTGCGCAAACTGATGAAGCACTCGGGACGGAAGACCACACTGTAAAAAGGTGCTCGTTTTTGTTAGGAGGCATTCCTAACGAACATATTGCTCAACATTTCTCTCTCTCTATTTCAGCCTCTCATTGGACTGTTCTGTTCCATTCCATTCTTGATTCTTCGAATCTCGATATTGGCTGTTCAGTTGCTGCAGTATAATTTCCTCAAGGCTTTTTGTCTTCTCAATTTCGTGTGTAACTGACATGGTTGATTGACTGATTAGTAGAGAACATAACAGTTTTTCGAAATCCCACTGTACTCTTGTCACCAGGTTGTGCCCTTTTTAGAGAGCCCTATTAATTCGAAAGTAACGCCCCAAAACCTGGAACTATCATGTTTGTGAACCTATAGCGTGGAATGCAATTTATTGAACAGCTTGTGAACTAAAATTCTCGGTGCATAACAGATACGCAGGAGAGCTCGAGATAGGTCAGTGGTTAAGGTGCGAACTGGGGCGAGATGGCTCTAGTGGTTAGAACGCAAATTTATTGACCAGGAGGTTGGTGGTTCGAAACCGACTTCTGCCTGTCGACTTCTTTGCCTAGGTGTGAGTAACCTGGTAGTATCCCAGCCCTCGTGCTTCCTTCGGGTGGCATGGCAGCTAGGCACCGGAAGGGTGTTACAACTGAACGGTGTATGCATATAGTAGATGCGAACTCACGAACCGGAAGATACGTGGTTGGAACCCAGCCTTATCATCTCGACTACTCCTGTCTAGGCTTGGGCAGTCTGGCAGTATCTCAGCTCTCGTGCTTCCCTCCGCTGGAATGGCAGCTAGGTATTGAAAGGGCGCTACAGCTGAACGATTTTCGTACAACGGAGAGTGCTTTCGATCCAGAATGTGCTCAAGCAGGAAACGCCAAGATAGTTCACCAGTTCACCGGAGTAAGACAAAATGCTTTTGGTCTTCAGTCAAGACATCGCAGACACTTAGCTGTTTGCAGAGCAAGCTAACAACCCAACCGAAGGCTTGGAGTCAGGGTTTCTTGTATTGGGTGGTGCCACTACCTCAGACGACAGCCCGCGATTCCCATTTCCTGACGGTAAACGCATCCAGTTTGGGTCTCACTGTCTGTCTTATTGACTGCTTCTGCCTACGTGTAAGGGACCTGATGGTATCGAATTCGCTTGTATCGTGTTTGTTGTGTGGTAGCCGTGCTGCACAAAACCACGAAGACGTAACTTGGTGCTTACGAGCACAATGCTTAAAGAGATTGCTCGTTGTCCCATCCGAAAAAAGCTCGTCATTTCTTAAACGTTCAGGACTTTCTAACACAGCGATCTATTGTAAAATGCCATTCTGAAGCTATAAGTCGGACTTGACGGCTGCTTCATCCTTAGTGTACATCTCACAAAATCCGGAGACGCCTTGAAGGCGATTTGGAGTTGCGTACTATACCATTCAAATACTGTCAGTTAGTGAGCGATGTGGTTGATTCGCAAGGATGCATTACTTATCGAGATTACATGGCTCACTCCTTTGTACCGATTGACTTCTCGAACGATCACTTCTGAAGTTGCGACCCTGCATGGCTAGTAACATTTCGCAGGTAGCGGGGTGTTCAGATTTAATGGATGATTTAGGCTGTTCTCCTAGCGGGATACAGTAGGATCTGTCATTTTCTGGCGGTAAATTTGGAAATTCTCTCAGTTCGACCAACCAAGGGATTGTATTATTTGCCTTCTTCAATCCATTTGTTCGTATTTCGTGATCATTTCGCTTGCACATTCAAATTTGACCCGTGTGTGAGGGAGGGAGGGTGAAGCAATAGTTTTGCCGACTTGTCATGTCTGTTATGTTTCGACCAAACACTGAATGTGATCTTGGGTGAAGTTCTGTTCCAAGTCCACTGTTTTACAAAAATTTTACATTCACGTGAGTGAAGTAAACCGTTATGAATCCGCAGCATCCGTTTTTATTCTTATGTCACTTCCACAGTCAACCAGGTAGTAACCCGGATTCCCTGTAACGCGGGATCACATGTTACTAAGGTATGCGAGGTCTCAGCTCCTTCTATCGACATTCTCATTGTATTACCTAATGCTATGCATCTGATACTTTTACACGAAAAATAACGTACCCTTGTATCATCTACCTGGATTCCAGTCAATTACTCAAAGAAACGAATAGAGTGCAACGATCGAATGTTCAGTTGTTTGGGGTTTGTTTTCGTATAGATATTCCTCGCTGCTTGTAATATCATTATTATTATGAATTATACTTTATTGCAACGCAAAACCATCAAGTGGCAGAGTGTATACAGCTTCTGTAAGTTAACCTGTAAGACAGTTCAAGCCTGTAACACAGAGCTGCCACAGGAATGGAAGGTTGTGGCTCACATTCTCGTCTCTCATTAGCATAGGTCCATATTCTCAGCCCTCGTGTTCTTATTTTTTATAGGAACATGACCCAATCCTCCATCCAGCCCCTGGTATCTCGCGGCCTATGTCCCAGCTGACTGAAGAAGAACAAGTCAAGATCGCCACAAGAATGGGGCTTATTTCAACCCTTCCACTGTTCACGTTCACTGAAGATAAACGAGAAAAGTTGACCGAGTAAGTATTAGATTTATTTCTATAAGCCTGATCGCTGTGCAACCGTCCGTGTTGGTCGGGATGCACTTATTAAATGAAGTCTGCATATCAGCCTCTAAGTTAATGTATATAGATGATTAGCCGAAAACACAGTGGTCTAAAAACAGTGCTGTGCCTGACATCAGGCACAGATGAATACCTTGGATTCCCACGAACATAACCCGAAAACTCACTGTAACTACTCAGTAAGAAATTTTTTTCGGAACAACACTAATTCACACTACTTTGATGGTCATTTTGAACTATGGGGATGGTAACGTAGAGATTCTGGTCAGCCGGTCGCAGGTCAAAGGAACTCCATAGGCGTTTCCTGAGTTGAATACGCGTGCAAATTATTTATTCGCCAAGATACGAATTCAGCCGCGGATTGAACAAGCCGACTGCACTTTGAGATGTCCAGTGTGTCAAACCAGTATCTCTAGCTAAAGTGACCTTACTGAACACTCATCCAACTCGTGCCCTTTCGTGGCCATTCAGTCTTGATCATACAGTCTTCACTACCTTCAGTTTCTCAGAGCATAACCTGTCTGTTTCGATCTGGATTGACAATCAATATGTTGCGTGAGACTAACCAAAGTCGACTTGCCTGGTGGTATTTTCTGGAGCAGACGGCTGCGTAGACGGCATAGCACTGAACTGTAGTTCTAATTCAACTTACCATCTGCGGTTGTCTAGTGGAATTCTGTGTCGCTTCATCGAACCAGTCTACTACAGACACATGGTCATTGCATTCCTTACTTTCCGTCTCAGTCGTCTCTTTTCTGTTTATGTTTCCTGGAAATAGGACGTCTTTGTTTGCCCCGTCTGACCGCAATACAGGCCATCTGTTTGGGAAGTCTGTTTGGGGCCAGGACATCTTAATCCTCGATCTCACGTGACACGGAGTGGTTTTTCTCTTTCTGTGTTCCACCTGCGAGTGTTTCTGGATAGATGAGTGAATTCTCTCACCACAGATGAGTGAATATTCGCAGTGTATGTTTGTCAGTTTGGGCTGTATATGAGTGGGATGAAACCGCAGAAAACCGGTGTGACTCACTGTTTATTACACCTACGGTGGTTGCGCTTGTATATTTTCTGCCTTGGATTAGGGTAAACCTTCATCAATCGACCAAACAGCCGCTGTGAACCCGACGACGACGCTGTATGGGGCACACTCATATTTTCTACACTGACACTCCATTTTATGGAAGGTCAAACTGTATAAAGATCAAGTGGTGTCGACGGTCGTAGGGCTTGGAGTAAAGCTTTTAGGAAGATATACAGTCACTGTCCAATGAGTTCCCACGTAACAGTGGCACATCATATGAAGGATTACTTAATTTTCTGACACACTAGCGTCCCCCCCCCTAGTATAGACTTATCCCCTACTAGGACTATTCCACGCCGCTCTTATGAGATTGGACTTGAAAGTGATACTCTTTGAGAAACTTAACCTAACTCCCAATAAACACCACCCTAAGAGCCGTCTTCTATTCGAACAGGAACCAGGATGTTAAATCCGGACTTTGTTTTTCTTACGGTAAGGTCAAGAGCCGATACTTAGTGCCGGCTTATTGATGTCAGTGGTCATGATGACGCAGTGGCCACTGAGTCTGGAAATGACGGGCTCATTGTTGTGTTTAATTAATGAACGAAAATATCCCTAATTGACTGGTCACCCATTTAAAGTAACTTCGGTGTTGTTCGCTTGGCAATGTTTGTGATAGAATCCCGTCGCTCTCTGTCATATCTGCCCGGGCCTCAATGAAATGTAGTTACTTACCCTCCTAAGACCGTTTATATGACGTTGCAACTATTCTTACGGTGGACAAAATACCGCGACATCATTGTGGTTGCCCTGTATGTACAGTCGATCCACAGTCTTGGTACTCCCTGAATTCGATGGAGGTTCGGTCCGCTTGGTCGGCTCTTCTCCGAAGTTTTTTCCTCGGAACCTAATCCGGTCCTTGTATGCACACACTTTGGGACATTAATCAGATTATGAACTCTCCTAAAGCATCCCTACAAGTGACATCCGAAGAGGATATCCACTGTCATCACTCCACTCAGCCCCGCCGTCCACGAAATACCATAGCGTCTTTTACGAGTTTATCCATACTCGAACTCTTGGGAACTGTTTGTGTTGAACCCACTATCAGAGCGGAAGAATATACCGCTCCGCTGTTCCTTTTCCACCCACAGAATGTCCAAGCGTAGTAATTTTTTGTCTGTCTGACTAGCTAGGCCTTTTAAAAATGCTGATACTTTTGTAGTCTGCTACACTGCTTCTTACTAGTTTGATGTTGGTCTGTTGGAGACATCTGTATCCGATCTAGTACTGGAACTATTTATATTGAAACAGTCTTCTCTTAGGAAGCCAAGCCAAGCCAAGCTAGCTGCTGCCACAATATTTTTGGACTTTTGTTTCCCTGGACGAGGCCTAAAATCCATTGCACGGTTGAGTCTTACCTTCAAATTCGTGTTTATCTACCCTTTTAGAATGTGTTTTCTGTCTGTTTCACAACTGCACACATGTAGTCAGTAGCATTTCTCACTCTCTACAGCGAGAGCCGTCGTCAGAAAGGTCTTGCGGTCAAACTAGGAATGCTTCCAAACGTGCATATTTCTGTACCTTTCTTTTCGGCATTAGTTAAAGCGTATTTCTATTCACCTGTTTCGTTGTGTTTTGGTTTGCACCTATTTGGCGCTGATCATCATATGTTAAGAGGGAATTCACTGGGGACATATGTCTAGAGTGTCGTCCATAACCTTCGTCTGCGGCATTATCCTATTTGTTCTGTGATCCTGTTCCAGGCATGCTATCCACTCGTGACATTTGGTTATATGCTTTTTGACGCCCCTTCGTGAGAGTAGTTACAGTGTTTGAGGCTCGTACACAGAATCCATCAGACACACTTCTGTCACAACCAAAAGAGCTATCGAGGTGCGAAAAACCATGCGCATCATCCAGTGACTTCCCTTGCATCGGAGACTATACGCTGCTTCTTTTGGGCACAAGGTACATCCTGACGGTATGACGCCGATCATTTTATCCGGCACGACTTTCAGCTTCTGTTGATCTTCACAGGTTAGGACGATGTATTCTGCATACAGCGGGTCATCTCCAAACACTTTGTGTAACTATTGCAACTATTTGATCACCAGAGTTTTGTAGATTCTCAGGCGTTCGCCTCAGCGAAATCTAGTATGGCTCTATTCAACTGGTTGATGTACCACTGGCACACCTAGGTGATTTAGAATTAAGTAGTGACGCCAGTTCAAATGGCACACCGCGGACTTTACAAACGATTATCAATGTACTAGCGGTGTCAAGCAATCAGATAGCATCAGATGAAGGCAATGAAAGTGCCATGAGTCCCAGATCTAGGCAAGCCACTGAACTAAATGTGTTCTCAGCATTCGATGAATGCTCACAGTTCTCACATGACATTCAACAACTTTGTTGGCTTCTGTGCAACGCTTCATTATGATGAAAACACTGTAAGACTCAAGTACATGGCTTGACTTCTTTTTTTTCCAACTGTTGTCAAAATTTTGAAAACCGCGAGTAATGCTCATCCTACGAGATCGAAAGCCCAATTCCCTAGAATTACAGTTTATGATGCCTATTTTCTGCAAAATGTATTTTGTTGGGCTTTACAAATTCACCACGAAACAGTGGCTTCGGGAACACAACAATTCAACCCCAATGGGAACATTGTGTCCAGCCCGCTGATCATGCTTGAGCTGGTTTTCGTCAGTTCAAGATAAAGCTTGAGACATCGTTGACGGTTTAACGTTCTGGTGGCATTATCACATTGTGGGGAAATTTTATTGAGTTCGTTTAGACCTGCGGTCATCGCGGTACGTCCCTTTTCGAGCTTGTGTCTTGGTACTACTATGGGAATCAATTCAAATGTGGTTAAAAGTTGCGGTAGTTCTGCCAAACCTATTGAGCGGATAGCACAACCAGTGTCCAGTGCATGTGTTTAGGTCTACCTGTTTTGTGCCGATGTTGTGGCTGGATTATCCGAAAGTATTGTTCGATTGTGGGCAGTCCCCATTGTCCTTGTGGTGTTGCTAGTCAGTCAGAAGGAGGCTGATGTTGTGTACCTCGGGTGTCGGCTTTCTTTTCACCTACCTGTCATAGACGAACTTTTCGAAATGTCACCGTGGTACTCCTGATTTGTGACATCCGGATACAGATTCTTCCCAATTTTGTAGCCTAGAAAGCAGCGTTTGATAGGACTTTCATGTTTTCGCGGATGGCGTTACTCTTCCAGTCACCTTTTTCGTAAGCAACACGTTTTGACGTACCAGATTTTCATATGAATGTCATATTTGCTTTCATATCATAACTTTACCACTTTTAGGCGCAGATGAATTGTTTAGCACACCATTGGTTGCAAATGATCGACTTTGGCATCACCGGAACATTCATCGAACGTGCCATGGCTGTTTGCACCACCACCGTAGGGTTATGGTGGCTGTTGTATTGATTGTGCTGGTACGCCGCGTTTATGGCAAATTCTACTTTACGCTGACATCTCATTCTACCGTATCAAAACTTAAAGAGTCTCGAGAAAAAACCGACTTACCACTCTGACCAAAAATCTATGAAGATCACCTTCTACTGGAGTTCTCTGTCGGCAAGCACACTTTTTGACGATAGTATGCTTGACTCCACGCCCATCGAACGATTCTCCATGCAAAACACTGTTAGCACTGTCATCTTGAATAGTGATTTCATTCATTCTTACCTCTCCATCGAAAATTCTACTTCTTTCATAGATTCCCAGTCACGGCCAAGGAATCATCACTGTAACCTGCTTGTGTGTGTTTTTAAGAACCCACATACCAGAAAAATTCAAGCCACATCCGAACTGACGTATACATCGGGACGCCAATTTCATCCAATCGTAATTCACACTATTCAGAACGAACGGTTTTCATGCAGTACGGCTATACTACCATACTTACCG